TAGCCATAATTCAATTGATGGAAATTAATTCTGATTTCAGTATGGTGCTAATTAATATTCAGCCAGTATTTCAACTGTATTTTGTGTATGTTGTTTTCTGGTTTTTAAGAGTGGCAAGAGGATGCAGAAATGATTATCTTTTTTTTTTTTTCCTTTCAGGTGATTACAGCTCAGCAACTTCCCAAGCTAAATAAAGAGAAGAGTTCTTCCATTGTCGACCCTTTTGTACGGATTGAGATTCATGGAATTCCTGCAGATTGCTGCAAGAAACAAACTGAATACCGGTTAAATAATGGTGAGGCATAGCCTAGGAATGAAGGGAATAAGGAGAAGCAGGGGTAGAGAACCTATGGGCCTCCAAATATTATTGGTTGTACTGGATCCACCCAGCATGACCAATATCATGAATTCTGGATGCTTAGTTCACAAGCATCTTGATGAACCATGCTATTGGACTAGAGGGAGGACTGAGCTACAATCTGAAGAAAATCCAGGGTTGGTTTTTAATATTTCCACGTAAAAAGGAAACACAAGTAGTAAGTCTGAAGAAGTCCTCTGGAGATGCTTTTTACATTGGACTTCAATCAGTGAAATGACTTACAACCACTGTTATAAATTGATATAAGAAATTGGCTTATTCTGAGTCTGGGCTCATCCATACAGATGCTTTTGCCATGCTTTCCTCCTATCATGCCTCCTCTGGGCACCCTAGGTTATCTGCATGGAATATCTTGCGCTGACCTAACATGGAAAACACCACTTCTACACAGGAAAACTTAAAGCTGTCTTCAGATTGTTGTAGTAGTGGGCTGACAATATGATAGTATTGTGAAGACACATCCTCAGCAAGGAGTAGATAGAGCATCGTTGTACTGGCATAACAAAGCTGAGTAGATGATCTTTCAGACTATCGGTTCATTTGGTTTATCCTTTTCCAACCTGATTTCCTTTCAACAGAATTGGGTGAAGGTAGTTCCAGGTGAACCTATAATCAGGTACAGGATAAGGCAACACCTTATATCCAACCAATGTAGTATTTGCATTTATAAAAATCAAGTAATCTGTTGAATGCAAACATATTCATTTTGTCAAAAACAAATTGTATTTGAACTTGTAAACTTGTAAATAAGGCTGTATAGCAGAGAAAAAAGGTCAAAATCAAAAGTCTGAAAAACAACTTTCTGAAAATTCGCTAAAGAAATTCTTAGCCAATAAAGGTTACATTGGAATCTTGCTTTAACAAAGTATCTCCACAATATTTTTCTCCTGAATTTCTACTTCTTGGATTTTAACCCCTGCAGGATTCAATCCATGCTGGGATGAGACGTTGATGTTTCAGGTACAGGTTCCAGACCTGGCGCTGGTGCGCTTTGTAGTAGAGGATTATGACACAACTTCCTCCAACGATTTTGTAGGACAGTTTACACTGCCATTGCCCAGCCTCAGGGAAGGTGAGTGTTTCTCTCCCAGAATCAAGAGAGCTCAAGTGGGCTGTTGCACAGTCTCTAGAACAGCCTGGTGCTAGTCTGCCTAGAAATAACAGGAATTCTGAACAGTGTTTTATCTTAGTTCTGATTCTGTAGATTTCTGCACCTGTTCAATAGATCCACCACCCTAAAGTGCTACCAGCCTCGAGGGGCTCCACATAGAAAGCAGAAATTTTCCTGTAGAGTAAGTTCCTGAAGTGAACTTAAATAATGGCACACATCCAGATGTCTCAAAGGGATGTTTAATTTTAAACTGTTCCAGCAATTGCCTTTCATGTTTTAGGACTACAGGCTGCAGAATTTGCAAATTGCAACACCTGGGGTATGACTTGCAGAGGTCATCAGATTGTAGGTTTATTTAGATCATTGTGTGATCTATATTATCTCAGAAGTAGCTATGGGCTGGGTGATGGTAAAACAATCCATGAGCTTATATAACAGAAAAGGCCATGTAGAAGAAATACATGCTGGTTAGTGAGCACTGTGGAAACCCATCCACCCTTTCTCAGAGTAGACCTTCCTGTCACTTTTTCCTCAGGCTACCGGCATATCCACCTGCTTTCCAGGGATGGTACATCCCTATCTCCAGCTACACTTTTTGTACACATCAGATGCAGGAAGATGTGAAAGCTGTAATAAAGGTTGAGTTTGGAAAATGTGAAAGTGGATTAATGAGAATTTCCAGTCAGCCCTCAGAAGAATGGATGAGTAGCTGTGCTAATTCTGGGTGCCACCTGCTGCTACATCAGATAAGGTTGGAGTCATACAGAAGAACCAGAATGTCATAGCCAGAAGATCCAGGCTGAGACAGGAGCCTGATGAATATTCAAGTTGTTGCATAAGGGTCAAATGTTAAGATTCTTTGTGCAGTTGAAGCTAAAAGCTAAGTAATGTACAGACTCCTAGAATGCTTTCCTAGCCAGGATTTTAAGTTTGATAAAGGTTCCACGTCATTCTCTTCTTTGCAGAGGCCTGCAAAAGGAACACACTGGGAATAGGAATCTTCTTGTTCTATTTGTTTGATAGTCACTACACAAGAAGTCCAATGAAAAGATGTATTATTTTGCACACTTGGATACATCCACCGAAATCTAAGAAAGAATGTGAAAAGGGGACAGATGGACTTATGACCAAGACTAGTGAGTGAAGGTGGTGTGACTTTGTAGTAAGGGCCTAAGAACATGGAAACACGACCCACAAATTGAACTGAAGAATTTGAGCTAGCCCAATTGTAGCAAAACTGATTTAGAATCTGATTGAATATATGCACTTTGACAGGCTGGTATGGTGACTGGGCACGAAACTGGATCTTTATTTATTTAGGAAACAATCAAGCTATTTTGTCTAGCACATAATTTAAACAGTTTCAAAGATCATGTTTCAGATAATGAACAATAGATGGAAACTTTAAGACAGAGGATTGTAGATTTTAATCACAAGCCCAGGAGTATCATACATATGACAGTCTTGCACCCCACTTTGGGTACTCAGTTAGCTTCTCCTGACAGCTCCGAAACAATTTTAATGAAATTTGAATACTAATTCTCCTGAAGGAGCTTTGCAAAATTAGTATTAACTAGTTTTTCAAAGCATATGTATTTATTTATTTTTTCCGGGTAAACCCTAGTAATTATTTTTAGATAATTTAGATGTATCAGATAGATTGGTATGAGGAAAATATGTGTACTCTTACACATTCTCAGACCATTTGTGGTAGAAATGTACTTTTAGAAACTAGATTCCAAACACTGTGTTATTCTTCCTGTAGAACTTTTCATTGTGAGCTGTAAAAAAATCACTAGACTGTAAGGATGAAATTGGATTATTTTTGCTATAGTGTTTCTCCTAGTCAATTTGAAACAACAATATATAGCTTTACAGCATTTAATCTTTCAGTACAAATTAAAAGCAGCTGTTGGCAGCTAGTGGCTGTTTTGGCTATTGCTAGTTAAACTATCACTCACAATGCATCTCAAAGGACTTTACGCTACAATCCTACATGATCCTACTCCTACTGGGAGCCATTGAGTTAATCACTGCCTCTCAACACTACCTTTCACATGATTGTAAAGTGTGGGAAGACCCCCCACATGTGCTGCTTTGAGTTGCTAGAGGAAAGGCAGGTTATAACAATACAGCATATAATAATTTAGCAAGCAGTTACAAGGGTATAACCTTAATTGAGCTTTTTAATTTTCATCACTTACTGTAGCTGGGATTAGATGGAAAATAAATCCATTGGAAATATACAGTATGTACCCTTTGCTTGGGCTATGGACCATGGCTTCACAGCAGATATTAAGATACCATAAAAAGAAGCAGTAAGGACTCGTTTGCTGTGTTTTTTCAAAGCATTTTGAATAGGGCATCTTGTAATATGGCCTATTTTTAACTTGCAATAGTTTCTTGAAAGAGCTGGTTCACCATTTGTATTTTAGTGACTAAGCAAGTTCTGAACATTTAGTAGCTGCTTTTATCATACAGTCTAATTCTTATTTTTTGACCATTCAGTCTTAACACAAATAGGGGGCAAGTATTTCCCAAGCGTACAAAAAGAAGCCAACTGAATCTGAGAGTTGAGTTTGAGCTACAAGTTACATAGAAAGAAGGGTATGTAATGATTTTAGCACTACTTACAAACATTTCCAATGAGGCTTCAAGGTAAAATCCTTTAATAATTATTCTCACTGACCACCCCCAAGCTTTTGCCAAAGCCATCAGATACTATCCAGAGGTCTGGCTGTTTCTCATGCTGCTGCTCCTCTTTCACTTCTGGCTCAGAGGATTCTTCTTTGGACTCATCTCCCTTCAGATTTTTCTAGGCAGTTTTCCAAGCTATGGCTATTTTGTGCTTCCTACCCATATTCCTAGTTACAACTAGGCCCACCTCATGAAGCAGCAGCCTTTTTCTCTCTTGTAGGTTACAGTTGCTGCTTCTAGACAGGAGAATTTACTGCAGCACTTTGGATCTGTACTTCCATAGGGAGATAGGGGTTCTCTTTTTAACTTGGGCTAGAAATTCTGGGTTCTCAGTCCCAACAAAGCAAGGAAGAGCTAGGTTGTGGAACTGGCCCAGGCCTATTATTAGGCAGACAGGTTCAAATTTCCTTTATGGGTGTACTTTGGGCTGCTATCAGAAGTGTGAAGCTCAAGTTTCCACATTTTTCTCCAATAATATCTGTTAAAATAAAAAACTGGCTTGTCCTTACCTTATGGAACAGAGGGAAGGAAAGATAACCAACCAGTGGTAATGTTTGATCATGCAATATGCATTTCAGTCTCTTTGCTTGGCAGCATTACAGGATGACATAGGGCAGGGGGGTCTGAATGGCAGCTACACATAGCCTGTACTATTATTCCAGTTTTCAAAAATTGTTCTAAATTGGCTTCCTATCCAAGCAGCAGTTGGGGATTGGCCTTGAGTCAAATCCCAACTTCACTGTAACACTGACTGTGTAACTTGGCCAAACACTCTATCTCAGCTTACCTTCCTTGGAGACAAGAAAGATTCAAATGTGGGTGGAGAAAAAGTAAACAATCCATGTTTCTTGAGCTTTTCAGAGGAAAATGGATCGTAAGTGTAGAAATTAATAAAGAGTATGTTTCTCAGGACATTTCTAGAATTTCTTCCACAATAGATTGTGACAAAGTGATTAAAGGGCTAATTCTCAGAAATGGATTTAGACAGTTGAAAGTATATGACATGATGAAGCCCATTATATATTTAATTCTGTATGTTCTGTGATATTTACCACTAGACAATTTTCAGTTCACTTTTGAGTTTAGCACTTTTTTGCTGGAGCCTACTTCAACTGAATGCAGTTTACAAATCCAGATTTGGCATCTCCATACACAGAAGTTTCTAAGAAGCACTGACATGTGTTCATCTTTCTACCCCTCTCTCCTCTCCAAGGGAAAAATGGGGTTTAAGCACCTTCTAGAATTTGATTCAGTAACTGTCTATATATTAAAGAGACTGTTGTTTGCAATGTATTGAATAAGTAGAATAAAATGTTTTATTTTAACAAATGATCTAGTGTCAGAGAAGTATCCAAGTTCCATGGAACACACAAACAACAAAAAAGAGTAAAGCTGTTATTGCTACTAGGAACAGAATTCTGAGTGATCAGTTCCCTGAATATATGTGATATCTGGGCAATACTGATTGGGATAAACTTGTTTTTTTCCTTATTCTTCTGCAGCCATGAGGTTTTGTTTTTTAAGTCAGATAAGCTGTTAAGTGTAGATTTCCTCTTAAAATCCAGATTTCCTTGGGCTGTGCAGACCTAAAAGCTTTTTTCCCATATGGTAAAACATATATGAAAAATGCTAAGTACTTTGTAATGCAAGTATAGCTGAAATGTATTTTAGGGAGAAAGTCACTCCCATTTTCATGTGCAAGTACCTAAGTCAGAGAAGTCATAAGTCAACTTCTGGCCACAAAATTCATGCAACAGTTTCTAAAAACTTTATGCCAAGGCAATATCAGCAACACTTGGACCAAAGGCCTGGGTTTTTTTGCCTAACAGAAACTGAGAAGCAAACCTAAATTCTAGAGGGAAAAATGTTAACAGTTTCCAGCAGATGAATGATAGTGTTTTTTTCCCCGATTGCTATGATGTCTGTCCTTTAGAAAAGTAATTTTATAGTCATTTCTTAATGAAGAGGGAAGATGTATCAATCTGAGATGGGTGTGGCATTTTGTCACAAATTAAAGTAACTACACATTGCACTTAAGATTCTACTGCGTAATCCTCCATACCTGGCTAGTTAAGGAGGAAGTCAAGCATTAAACTAAGAGCTTGCTCAACCCAATGGTTCTTGTGGTTCTTACAGACTAACACATCAGTTAAATTACATAATCCTGTCAGTCAATATACTTTAGGAAAACCTGCTTCCTTATATAAAAATGTTCAAATTTTATTCCATCCTGTTTCTCAAATAAACAGCATTCTCTTGAAGATAGCCTTCTTACCACCTCACAGGAATAAGAATTATCTATTCTCAATAGACCCCCTACTCTTCACATAAGTCACTTTCAATTGCAAGTTATAAGACACAGGAGGGCCATCCCAAAAATGTGTCATGCAACGATGCAAATGGTAACTTATGAGAATGTCACTCTCCTAAATCACTGAAATTATTGAATCATTCAGTTATACTTGACACAACCTTAACTATTCAGCAGAGGCTGGCTGGAAGAAGGTCTAAGCAAAATACCACTGATTACAATACAGGATCTGAAAAAGTGAACAATAAGTGTGGAAGCACTTTTAGGCATGTGGATAGAATGATGCTAAGGAAGAATGATAGTCTGCTGTTTTTCCGTGGCAATTAATTCATGCCAATTCATGCTTGAGCATATTGGAGAGATCTCATGTGCATCCTATCCATATAAGAACATATACACTGGGATTGTACTTGCACTAATATTTAGCTAGCACATTATTTCTTGTCCTGTATTTATGCCCTGTCCTAACAATCAATTATTGCTATACTTGCTACTTCTATTTTTAGAATACAAGCTAGTTGAAGACACTTTTTATGGCATTTGCTTATGCATTAATTTTGCAAATTTTAAAGATGGATAATAATTGGATCTTTAATGAAAATTAAGTTCTCAAGATCCCCCTCATGAAGCATAGGAGGGGGTTAAAAAGGGATGTTTCACATTTCTCATATTCAACAAATGCTACAAAGAGGCCACAACATGCACAAGAGACTGGGACTCCAAAGTTATCAACATGGTACACAACCAAAACTGTAACTGAAATGAAAATGAAACTAAAATACCAAACAAAAATGCTAGATTTTCGTTTTCTAAAGTGTGTACAGAATCTGGATTCAGCAGCACTTCTGCAATATAAGCAAATATTAGAATGAAGCTTCCAAAGCCTAGATGAGAAGCATTTTTCATTTCAAATGAAAGCAAGGGCATTTTTTTCTACCCCATCATATATGGGAAAAATTACATCCCAAAAAGGTTAACAGTGAATTTTCGATACTACATTAAAGGCAACTTGGACAAAGTTAGCAAAGACAGAGAGATCATATTGAAGTTTCATTGTTTCTAGTCCTGCCACTGCAAGCATTAAACCAACTGTGCAAATAGAAGGATTTTTCTTCAATGTAGATCTCTTTCACTAATTGAAAGGAATGACACAAGAAATGTGCAGTTTTCTGAAAAAAAAAGAAATTTTTCCACAAGATTTGTTTTAACTTTCCAAAATGCCTTTTTTCTCCAAAACAAGCACAGGGCAGTATATAAACTCTAGGATTAGGCACTCTATGCTATATTGCCCTTTGTGTTCTAACCATCACATAGATGATGTTGACTAAAAGTCACATAGCTAGAAATGTGCTCTTTTATCATCATATTTTCCCTGACATGAAAAATCTATACTCACAGACATGTTCTCTTTATTATGCCAATAAACTTATCTTGATAAGCTAAATTTATCTTGATTTACACTGTATGATCCAATCCTTTCATTGAGAAAATGAGATGAGAAGAAAATGAGATGAGAAGATGATGATGGTGATAACAAAAATATGAGAATCTTCTTAGTGACATACTAATCAGATATCGGAAGAATTTTTAGTTTTTGCTGTCATATTGCGGCACAACAGTCTGAAATAATGCAATGGAGAGGACCTTCAGATGTTACTGAACTGCAAGTCTTAGCATTCCTCACCGTTGGTCCTGCTGCCTGGGACTGCAGGGAACTGTAGTGCAGTGACATTTGGAGGCCTCCAGTTCTTTACATGTACTAAGGTCTAGATCCAAGTTCACTAATACGAACTAAGCTAAGACTATATCCAAAAGCCAGTCTTGACAAAGACCCAAGTATATCTTCCTAAGCATGCTTGCTTCTGAACTCACCCCCATCAGTCAAACATTTTTGGGTTGTTTTAACTGGACAGTTAAATTGGGCCCCTTCCCCAATCTGGGACCCTAAACAGAGGAACCTCTTTTTCAATTTCAAAAAGAAGATTACAGCCTAACTAACATTTATCCCAGCAACAAAGGTTTTACATCCTATATAATACATTGAATACATTTTGATTATAGATTGCCATTTTCATTCTAGCTTGCCTGGTATTTTCTGAGTTTTATGCAAGCACTAGCAAAATTGCCAGCAGAGCTTCTCATTTTATCAGCTGATTTTCATTGGAAATTCAATGGAATCGAAAGGAAAGCACAAACAGTTCTTTTCAAAGCTAGACAATGTAAGTTGATTGCAAGTCAGAGAACTAAAGTTTAGAACAATAGATGTGTTGGATAGTATTGCTAGAAACATTCATGATATTGCATTCCCTCCAATAATTACATTTTTTGGAGGAAACTGGAGAACTGCACCCACAGAAACAGGTATGGATTTTATAAGCGAAAAGCCACAAGCTGTACATTTGGTAATTCAAACACTGTACTATAGTTTTATTAGTGCACATCCAGGGAACAATGGCTGGGATTCATACCCTACTCCACCATGAAGTAAAGATCATCCATCATTAAAATAGCCCTTTGGTTTTTAAAAGAAAGTTATCTCAACAGGGGTTCGGAGTGAAATAGGCCATAGTGCTGTGTAAAAACTGAAAACTGGCCTTAAAACTACCCTTATCTAGGCCAATCACATACTGCAGCTCAGATTCTCTTTTGCATCACAAAAAGGGGGGATATACTTGTGTGATGGAATACAATGTATTATACTTTTCTGATGAAAATCCAAAGAACCAAATTTTTGGTCTTCTTGCAAAAATCATCATAATAAACCACCAGGCAATTAATATTTCTTTGAACAATAATTCTAAGATTAAAAAGCTATACTGCCTGATGGTTCCACCCCAGTTTCCACTTCAGATGAATAGTAATCATTGTTAAAATATAGAATATATAATATCATTTTTATTATTATTCACCCGTTAACTCCAATATATGCCAATTGCGAGCTAGTTCTCAGCAGTTACATTCCCTTGATCATGTTGTATGAGGGGCAGGGGGAGGGGAAGGGCCAAGAGCTGGCAGAGACACACTGGTGTGCTCAGTGGCACATGATACCATCATCAGAAATGTCAGGTCACGTGGCCAGTGCAGTGGGCACCGGTTCCTCCCCAGGACAAAGTCACTTCCATGGAACTCTGAACCATGAGGACTGGTAGTTCCATGCTGGCAATTGGCCCCAGACTTCAGCCTCCGCCTGCCCTTCTTCAGAGAAAACTGGCTATTGCAGCACCAAGCCAACCTATGGAAAACATTCAAGATGAAGGGAAAGGTTAGGAAGTATTTTTGGACTTTTAATTCAGCAGGTCTATGCACTACTCACCTGACTGGTGAGCCCCTTCCTGCTGAATACTCAAAACATGTTGTCTCTTGAGTGTTGAACAGAGGCTCGCTAATCAGTGCTGGCCTTTAATACTTTTTCAGATTTTATTTTTTAAGATTTCATTTCAGCATAACAGCTAGAAACTGAGGAGGGGAGGGGAAGGAGGCTGGCAGGTTTTTCCAGATTTACTCCAGAGGAAGTCAGTTCTGAATTTGAGATGTACCCTCCTTCCTAAAGAAAGATCAGAGTAAAAAAACAGGCACAGAAATCCTGCTCACTCTGCCAATTAAGGCATCCTAAGCCTCACTAAAGCCATTGCTGGAGGTTTTTCCTCCCAGCAAATGTGTGCACGTGATAACCAAATTCACATGTGTACATCTCTAGTCAGTGATCTAGATCCAAAGGAGGATTGGATTGGGGCATGCATGTTGCACTGGTTGGCAGTTCCTTAAATTAACTATAACTTTTCCTATGAAAAGTGGGTCCTTTCAGGAACGGGCAAGTGGTGAAATGTGAGTGCTCACGCACTCTCCAAATCACCTTTCCCTCTTTGAATCCAGATCAATGCAAAGCCCTAATTTGTACATGAATGTTATATATGAACTGGTGAGGCTGTACCAAAAAAGGACAGGGGCAGGATAAAAAAAAAAAATTCATATTGAATTATTCACATTAAATGCCTGTAAACTAAGGCTTCCCACTGATCCTCCAGTCTGCATATACACACAAACCATTTTCCCACACAACATTCTCTCTCTTACTCATACACATTTATGCAGGGAAAGAGAAATTGTTTGTGGGATTGGGCTCAGCAAGCATAAACTTAAGCAGGTTTACTCTGTAGTAATTTAACTGATTTCTATGGCTCTTACTCCCATGTAACATGCAAAGGCTGCTGCTATGCTGGGGATAGCTCTGTTTAAGCAACTTACTCAGCACACATTTGGGTGGAAACTGGGGAAAAGATCTTTGGTCTCTTGAGCTGTTTTTTCTTCTGCCTCTTTCTTCCTGGGGGTGGGGGGCTTTTGTGCTCAGAATGCAAGCACAAAGAAATCCATGCATGCTTATTCTCTAGCAAGTCCCAAGATCCATGACCCTCACTGCCAGGCAAGGATGCTTAGCACTTCCAGTCGTGTTCATTCACTGCGCTGACCCCGTTCTCCTCTTGTGGCCTTCTAGCCAGCATCTGGCATGAAGATCTCTTATCCACACTGACTCCACCTGAGATCTGCTTTCTCAGAGCTCTTGTACCAATAGAGGTGGCTCTCTATATGGACGTGGCATAGAAAAAGAGAGCAGAGCTAATATACTCACCTCCACCTGCAATGGAAGACATGAAGCGGGTTTTCCTGCTCCTCCTTTTTTGCCCTCGCTTTCACTATTTGCACCTTTTGCTCGTGTTCATTCACCTGCTTTCAACAGGAACTTCCACTACCACCATATTCTCAGCAACAAGAGAACAGTTGGGATAGTGCCCTCTCCTGCCTCTGCTTTAGTCACTCACTTTTATACTTTGCATTTCCCACACAACTGCTGGCTTTCGACATCATCTTCCTTTACTACTGTATTTCCAGCAAATGTAAGACACCCCCTGGCCCTTTGTTCCCTTTGGAGTAATTAGAGCAGGTCAGCAAACTGAGCTCCTTGGGATTACATTGCAGCTGTCACTGCCCCTTCTCTCCAGTAGCAGACATACCTGCACTGGGGTGTCTCAATCTGCATAACAATTTGGAAGGCTTATGCACAGCTTCTCAAGCCATTTGTCTAACCCTATGCAGACTCTTCCAAGAGGCATGATTTGACCTACCTTTTCTGGTCCCATGCTGGGGCATTTCCAATTGTAGAAGTAATACTGCAAGTTTCCATCACCAATCCCAAACTTCAGCTTCTCCAGGAAGGTCTTGTTTTCCATAAGATCCAGTGCATTGAAAACATCAAAGCCCTTCTGTAAAAAGAGGTGGTTAAAGAAAACTTGGTGGGTATATATGTGTGTATATAGAAGCACTTTGTAGCTCCACAGCATTAAGAAGAAACAAGTTTTGCTCAATTGTAGCAGAGCTAATGTCAATTAAAAAGATCAAGTATTGAGCATACTGCATTATTCTTCATCTCTCTAGGGCAGAGCAATTGCTTGCATTAACACTTTTTTTCCCTAAATGCTACAGCATTTAGAAGCAAACCACAAGAGAAACTCACCAATTTGGCCATTATGAGGGCATCGTTCATGAGGTCAAGAAGGGGTGTTTTGGTGTGGACATTGTAGAAAGAATAGGCTGCCTTCAAACTCTTGTGTGTAGGATGGTTCATAATGGTGGAGGGCAGTGTGTAGAAACTCAGGAAATCTGTCACCTTCCCATCAGTATTCTGGTGAAACAATTGCATTTAAAATTAATTCTTTTTTTCAGCCTTCAGTTAGAGGAAAGCAATTGTAATGTTAGCACCATCACCAGCTATTACGCCTGTTCCCTATAGTTTAGCAGAGCGAAGAAATTTGTATGGCATTTCCTCCCTTTCTGTATGTAATTCTGGCTTAAGATATGAAACAAAATGAATAGAAAATTAGGCAGAAGAGCTCTATGTACCACTTCAGACTGCAGGTGGTGAAAATGCAATATTTGAATATTCTGTTCTCTTTCTCTCCCCCATCCCCCAAGCAAAAAGCTAGCACAGTAAGAAAAGGACTGGATTACAATTTTTCTCTCAAGTGCTAGGATTTTTTAATAATACATTTCTCTAGGATCAGAGAGCCTTAAAAATGGCATTCAGATTCTGAAATGGTAAAATATAATTGATAGCCTCAGAATTCCACCATTTATTTCACTTGTATCTGCAGGTTTCTACTAAAGTTGCTTTAAATCTGAACTTTTAAGTATAGCAGCACACAACAAGAGCACCATTTATGTAACACTCTGAATTCTTGGAGTAGCCTGCCCCAAATGTAGGTCTTCCAAATCAATTGGTCTTCAACTCTCATAGTGCTCAGTCTGTTGGCCATACTGGCTGGGCATTATGGAAGTTGCTGTCTAACACATATATGAAGAGTGTTAGGTTAGGGAAGACTGTTTTGCATTTTCAGGACTGTTTCTGTATTTGAACACTAAGAGAAGGATTGAATTCTCTTTCCATGCACAATATCACGTGTGCACAAGACTGTGAAAGGACTCGGCTTTGCTTCAGTTATGTGTTATGTTTCCAAATTCTGCATTGAAGTAATGAATTAAGACAACCATCCAGAATATAAACTAACCTTCCATTTATTTTTATATATATACATATATTTATTTATTTATTTATTTACACCCACACACCATTCTGCTGGTGTATCTCAAAAGGATGGTGAACCAGACTATGCAGAGAACAGTGCCTTCTCCCTGCCTTTCACTATGAAACTGACTGAGTGGAGTGACAAAAAGGGCCCTCACCTCAACTACAAATGTGTCAATGATGTTGGGCTGGGGCAAAAACCAATGCTCTACTTCTTCCTGATTCATGATAGGGGACAAATGGAATTGTTTCAAATATTCTGCCAGAAGTTTGTGCACAGCAGGGATATCTTTGTGCTCCATTTGCCGTAGCCCCGGTGTCTTTGTAGCCTAGAAAGAGAGATCATTAATTCACTTAGAAACGCTCTATGTATTAATTAATTCACTTGGTTGAGGATGAAGGCAAGTGTTCCAACCAGTTTTCAAACTGCATTTGGAAGACCCTCAATGAAAAACTATTCCTCAATGTTACATCGGCTTTGCATGCAAAAGATCCTATGTTCAGTCAGTCTCTGACAACTCTACAAAAAACAGTAAAAATATGCTGCCTGTCAAGGCGACAACATTGAATTAGCAGAACTCAATCCACAATTACCACTGAACTTCAATACTATGCTGGTAAGCTATTCTAAAACTCTTTCCTGTTCTGCTTAACATTTTCTTTCAAAAGTAAGCTGCAGCTGAGCCACTCTATGCATCTGATGAAATGAGCTACAGGTCATGAAAACTTATGCCTTTTAATAAAATTTGTTAGTCAGAAAAGGTGCTACCAGGTTCCTCCTGATTTTTGGCCACCATAGATTAACATGGGTCTCCTCCTACAATGTCTTGATTGATTTTAGAAGCAAAGAATCAGGAGGACGTCAAAGAACATTTAAATCTAAATACCTGTCTAAGGTGGGAACTAACCAAGTTGCACAATTCACACCACAGTACAATCATTAGCAGAGTGAATGTTGTCTCCAAAGGTAATGATCCAGATACCGCAGAAGAGGACAAAAAACATTTCCCCTTCCATTCCAAGCTACTGTCCAATCTAACACAGGAAAAAAAATTCTAAAGATGACCACCAGTGTTAGTTTGAGGGGGAATAATTTCCACATCACTCCTTATATTGTTTCTTGATCAGCATTCCCAAAACATCTGACAGCCATTTTCTTCATGAATTAGAAGCAGAAGCAAATTTTCTGGAATGGAAGAGAGCTCCCTGTGTTCCAGGAAGCTAAATGCCTAAGTTTTTGTAAAAATCAGACTCCTCAAGCACAGAATATTTTATCCAGACATGAACTAAACAGTAACATCTGAGAAGATTCTGCACTGGGAGTAACTAAAATTATCTAGTCACATCTGATGGAGATATAGAGAACACTTCTGAAGAAGTGGAGTGCGGAACATGTAGCAAGGCAGGAGAACACAAGCACAAGCCTATCCTGACATGAAATACATGGGGCCAAAACGTATTTCAACACTGAAAGTGCAGCATAAATATACTCATGAAATATCCCCCACAATTAGATTTTTTAAAAATCTTGAGTGAGACTCTTTACTTAGAAAGAGCAAGATGGAACACTTCTTGATCCCTGCCTGAGCTTTTGTTATAAAAAGGACCCTCTGAGGTGGCATCCCTCTCCATAATCACACACCTCGGGAAGCCGATAAAGCTTCATGGTGCGTTGCATAGTCATATTCCTACTGAGGTGGGAAAATTTGACTTCAATCAGCTTGCGTGGATTCAGTGACCGATGCCAATACCTGTTTAAAAAAAAGCAACACCCCAGGTTACTCCTCCCATTCATATGCTATTCTTCCTCAAGCGAGGTCTTAGTAATTTGAAACCTATCAACAAGGCTTAATTCAGTATTGGAAATATATTTTACTCTTACGTTCAGAAGGGAAAATACACATTTTCTCAATGATCTCCAAGGACAATGAGCAGTCATTACCCTTGCCATTACCCATGTCAGTCTAAAGTATGTTTCCTCCCAGCATCACATATTTCTCTTTGTCCACTCACTCAGGACTTTAGAAGTGAAACCTACTTTCTCAGCAATATTGATACATCTAGCATGTATCTGTGTCAATCACTGCAAAACATACAGTATCAGAAATCCTGGTACCCCCCTCTCTTTCTCAGGATGAATCTGTCTGTCCATACTGGTAAAGATGGGAGAATTAAGACTGAACCTCTATGCCTAACTCACTGAGCGAGGCCCAAAATTGGTGTTTAATTTTTCAAAGCAAACTTTAACCCTCACCCTCATTAACTGGCGTGCAACTGAGAATCACTGCAGTTTTATTTGTTCTGTATTGCTTCCAAATACATTCTGCTCTGTTCTCACAGCTAAGATAACTAGTTAACCTGCCAGGCCATGAACCTCCACTTTCTACTTCAGTTCTCAAAAAAAAAAAGTGTTGTGCAACTCCAGTTTGCTTGCAGTATTTAAGGATTCATCAGCTCAATAGTGTCATCTCTTGCTCAGTAATTCCCTTTTCATGTCTGAGGACGAGTTTTCCACTCATGGTTAAAGTAAAGGGTTCATCTAACAGATGGGGTTTTTTTAAGTGGCAGAAGGTTATTAAGACTGAACAAAAATAAACACACAGGGAACTAAAGAAGAAAAGGAAAGAAACCCTAGTAACTGTTACCTACCTGCATGTCCCAACAGGCTTTGGTAGAACTACACCAGCTGTGTACACTGCCTGGAAAATCCCTTCCAAGTGGACCCGTCGGGTGATCTCCCGGATCAGAACAGGTGCCACCCTCTTGGAACGCAGTTTCTTGTGCACACAAAGGAAGTTTATTTCTACCATCTTCTTTTCCCTTTAATGGAAAAGGGGAAACCAGCTGTTGCCGCTCACTGCTGTCTGTCACAGTTTGGAAAGCAAACCAGAGGAGTGCAGAAAAGATGCTTGCCTGCCCAGGCTTTAACTCTCATTTCTGTATTTGCTAAGGCTATATCTTTTTCTTCTCTCCACCTAAGAAACTAAAACGTGCTTTCTCTCTCTACAATGAAGTTACGTTCTCCCCCTCAGGATGTTTATGTCACCAAACATTTACAGGATTTTTAAAATGAGAAGAGTTGGGATTCAAACCTTCCACAAAGTCCTGCTTATTTATTCCACATAGCAACTTGCAACAAGAAATTGAAAAAGCACTCCACATACGCACAGAGCTCCTGATTTGAAAGAATACAATGTGAGTTTATGCTTTTTGTTCAGCTCCAAGCTCAAATTAACTCTCATGTACCAAAAAGAAAAAAAAAGAAAAGAAAGCAAGTTGGGGAAAGCAAGCTCTTTAGGGCTTAAACAGAAAAGTGTGACTTGACTTACGTTTCATATATGTGGATAGCAGCTGGAATAGCACTGATGAAGCCAACCAACTTTTTGCTTGAGATGACCCTGACGCCACAGTGCCATTGAGGAAGCCAGCCTGGAGGACGCAAAGCCCTGGAGAAAATCCACAATCTTGTAAAATAAAATGTTTTGATTCAAGGGCCTACAGTGTGTCACCATTTAACATAAGCCATTTGCAGTGGCCAGAGGATGGAGCCATGTATGCCAGCATAAGAGAGACAAATTGTTACAATTAATTGTTGTATGCTGCCCAGAGTCAGCTTGTGTGAGATGGGCGGCTATATAAATTGATGGATGGATGGATGAAATTTAATGAGTGTGAATCTCATAAGAAAGAGAACATTTAGGTATTTAAAAAACCACATTACAAACTTCCCTGTCAGCAAAGCGTTTCGCTTGCCTGCCTTTCATTCAAAGGATTCCTTGCATGAATTAAAAGCAAGCGTATAAAATGACTAAAATTGCATGGCATGGCACTCGCAAAAGACAAACAGAAGACTGCTTTTTCTTCAGGGGAAACCAACTCAGTTTCCACAGTGACGAAGGACAGGGCAGCCTCTTGCTCAAGGGCCTAACATGAAAGCCGAGGAGGCTGGTGAAAGAAAGGCGGGAGAGTCCCCCTTGCTTTCCTAGCTTGCTGTACAGGCTGCAGCTGAGAAAAGGACTTTTCTTCCTCCACAGCCAATAATAAAGTTGAGTGAACTGGAGTAAGAAGGACAAGCTGTTTTACTTCTCCTTCACTAGTTCATTCAACTTGGCTGGAGAAAATCCCAAATTATTAAATGCCAAGAATGCCCAGATGAGACAGAAAATGCTGTACTAACATAAGATCTTCTTCAATAGCTATTTTGATTCAATGTCTTTCCAATTCAATGAGACCCACCCGAGCTCATGTATCCATAGCAGGCAAGAGATCCATAGAGTCCTAAAAAAGCTGCCAATATGGGTTACCCTGTCTGAGAGAAGTATCTCTTTGAGCAATAAAAAAGCTTACAATTACTTTTATTTTACTTCTGACCAACTCTGAATTACATGTACTGACAATAATAAGCTTAGGATATCCCTGTCTAAAGAAGGACCAGCTTATTGGCAGGATCTGATGCTATCACTTAAACCTTGAAACGTCTTTTCCCACCAAGTCAATTTAAATTAAAGAGGAAGGGAAATCTATTCCTAGCTAAGAAATTAATTTGACCAGTTCTTCTCACTGGGCTCTTTGTCATGCAAAAGAAGGAAATGAGTGAGCTGTCAAATGTTTACTTAGAAGAAACTTAGCCCCTCGTACACTGTATGCAAGGATTCCCAAGGCAGGATCCCATCATGGTTTTCAGATCTTTATTTGAAATACTATGAATTGTCTGTTCCTTATTTTTCCAATGTTTTCCTTTCAAATTATGCATGTGTAGCACATTGAACTAAATTACTTCACTAGAAGTAGCATTGCAGCCTGTGAATCTGTAAGTGCAGAATTCCCTCTTATATGCTAACTGTTCAGGAAGGTAAAAAGAGGCTTGCCTAATGCAGATAAGAAAGATCATCCTATCTCCTACAAAAATGGCTTTCAGTTTTTTCACAAAAAAGGATTTTAAGGAGTAGGGAGCAGCAATCCAAGCATGTCAAGATGAACCCAGTGAATCCATTCCCCAGCACTTGGAGAAAAGTTCTGTGTTGTATTTGTTAAAAGAAAGTACTTTAATGGGCTCCTGTACAAGAAGAAAGAAAAATGACAGACACCTCTGAGATATTCAGGAAAAACTATAACTCACCACAGGAGAAATTCAGGGGAATAATCAAACCTAAACATGTTGTCATCATCTTCCACATAGTTTTCATTCAGGAGAGTATACAGTTCCTTCAGCTAAAGAAAGCAAAAAGGAGAAACATAATCTGCTTAAGGAAGCAAAGTTTTCTCTATTAAAAGAACAGTAACTTCCAACAGGTCATCTGCTGATTATTAGAGCTTCACTGTGGGAAAAACAACCAACACACTAAGGTGGGGGTAGATATGGTTGTGGGAAAATACAATTTTGCTTCTGTCAATGGGTTTTAGCAAATCATTATTATCAGACTCAATTCCTATTAGAGGAGCAATAAAACCTAAGGGTTTACAGCACAGTTTTTGCATGAAGTTTTAAACCAGTCCTGAAAGGACCAGTTTTTAAACTGTAAAAAGATAAATCAACATTGGCTCTAAGGTAAGGAGATATTTCACATTCTCAACACATGAAACTGCGAGATAAACTGTGGCACAAATGAGTACAATATGAAGAGAAGGACAGAGATAGCAAGATACAGCAGAATCAAGCAAGCAAGCCAATCTAAACATTATGAGATGAAATTGCAAAACAACTCTGCAAAATATGCTCTCACAAACTCTACAAAAGAAACTGGTTTTTAGGAAGAATTCTGAAGGTGTTTGGGGAAGGAATTATAGCTAAGCAAAACAAAGGAGAGAGCGGGTGCAGAAGCAGTAATGTCAACTGCTTATGTCTAGTGCAGACAAGGAGAAAAGGAATATAGGATCATGAATAAAGTGCTGGAGAGTTCAATTAAAAAAACCAGGACTCTGAAGCTGATGCTAGAGGAAGTGATGAAACACGATAATAGCAGAAAGAGGGGTGGGGAGAGGAGATACTTTTGAAAAGAAACTTTTAGGATGGTTAGTTCTGCCTCATCCCTACTCACCACACCTCGATCCCCCAAGTCCAGGGCATCCCACATAAAGCCCTGAGGCAAGGTATAGGGCTCCTGACGGATGTTGTCCTTGTCTGGCTCAACAGGTCCATGGGTGTTTACTACCTCACCTGAGAGAAGGGAAAGAAGAATGAGAGCAAGCTGCCTCCGTGCGTGAGAATTCACTGTCCAAGGAACATTCCTAGCCTTGCCTAGTCAGTCCTTGCTTCCAGACTCACAAACTGCTTTGTTACATTTAGCCTGGGCAACTCCAATTGCCATGCTTCTAATTCCTATAGTATTGTGGCTAAAACAGACAGCCTTGTCCCCACTAGCTCATATTTCGTTCTTGTTTTCAGCCTACTTCTAATCAGTTCCTGTCTTGGATCAGTATCCCTTCTCGTTTAATGATTCCTCTCCTGTCTCTCAATGTAGTACGCAGTGTCCAGGTGGCAATGAAAGGCATGAGATGCACAGTTTACATATGCTTCATTTTTCTTTAAAACAGAAAGAAGGGAAAAAGAAAAAGATACTCTTTTCCTACACACCTAACTTGGGCACTGGCTGTGTATCCCAGAACTGATAGCTGCGTTTGGTGGCTTCTTCCATGGTCTTGGCAGGCCCTTGTCCTACAGAGAAGAGCTCGATGGCTTTTTGAATCTCCTGCATCCTTTCTGCTGGCAATGAATTCACCTGCATGTGAACCAAATGCAGAAAAATTAATAGACCCATCAGCCCCAATTATTTGTCCTTTCCTCCTTTAAGGAAGTTTAAACTTTTTTGGGGGGGAGACGATATCCTGCTTCTTTTCTCCCCTAAAGACTACATAAAATGTATATGTTCTCCCTTTCCACATCTACCTGTGTTGAACAGAAGAGCAAGAAATGTAGCACATTCAATCACATAGTCTCCCAAGAACCCTCTGGAAAGAGGTGCTAACTTATATCACTGTTGGTAGGCCATGGCAAGACAGATAAAGGACCACTCCAGCCAAAAGAAGCAACTTCAGCTTGGATTCTTAGCACTTCTAGTTGCATATAGACCCCAAAATAAATACTGCAATATGCATTAAGCTCCACTATGTGCATGTGTGTGCATGGAGGCTTGGAGGAGTTCAACATACTAACCTATTGAAAAAGGCTTTTTACCTTTGCTGATTGATCTTGGACCAGATCAAATTGTTCCCCCTTTTCTTTCTTCCGCTTCTGTTTCTTTTTCTTCTTTTTACCCACGCTGTCATCTGCTGGGCTTAAGCCACTGAAGAACAAAGGGAACATAAGGAGCAAACTTAAAAGATTCATTGCTAAGAACAGGATTTTGAGATTGCAGGGGGAGAGGAGAAGATTCAAGAGTTCGTTTTCTTAAGTTGTTCACTGCACATCTTGGGGGAGATTCAAGCTCCTCAGAGAAACCATTGCTAAGAACTAAACCATGCTGGCTTTCATGTATTATTTTTTTCCGATATTATCCTAGTACTTTTTCAAACACAGAATCAGAACTTGAAGGAGCCATTTAGGTCACCAAGTCTTAAACCTGCTCCTTGCAGGAATCCAGATTAAAGCACCCAAGGCACATGGCTGTTCAGCCTCTGTGAATGGCAGCCCAGCCCTTTCTGGGTAACTGCTTCCACTGTAAAACTGTTCTTACTGATAGGGACGTTTTCCTAATACTCAACTGGAATTTTCCTTCTCATAACATAAATTCTTTGTTCAATGTCCTGCCCTCTGGGATGACAGGGAACAGAACTGGACATCCTTTTGATGTTCATTATATTGCAAGTCCCAGTCTTCTCTTCTTAACCGAAGCAAGCATTCCCACATCCGTCAATGTTTTTTCATTCTTTCTAGTTCCATGATCATCCTCATTGCCCTTTCCTGAATGTGTTTCAGTTTGTCTGAATCCTGTGATTGCTAGGATTGGACAAAATATTCAGAAGGGAGTTCAGCCAATGCAGAATAACGTGGAAGTATTACTTCTATGGTTTAGAAACTATACATTCAAGTTAAGCATATTAACTATACTTAATATGGCCTAAAATTCCATTTGCCTTTTTGCAGCCATTTTATACTGTTGAGTCACAGTCAGTTTGCAATCAACTCTATTCCAAGAACATTTTCATTCATTCTCTTGCCAAGCCAACTCCCCCACTCCCCACACCATGCTTATGCATTTTATTTCTGTTTCCTAAGTAAATATCTGTTATTTTCAGCCCTTTTTTCTAATTTATCAAGATCTTTCTAAATGTAGCTATCCCATTCAAGTTTAGGTCATCTACAAGTCTGAGCAGCATTCCCTCCACCTCCACATGCAATGCTCAAGAGTGAATCCTGTGATGTCCTATTCCAGTTGAAGACAAACCTTAGGTAAGTATTCTCCAAAGGTTGTTAAGCCAGCTATACATCCTTTCAATTGTCATACTATCCATAATATCCTTAAATGGCTTACTAACATGCTAATGCAAATACCAACTACACTTCATTGGCTTTCTAATCAGAATATCAGTTTGTATTGGTCTGAAAGGCTGCATGTAACAACCAAAAAATGCTTCTTAAGATAACATGTTACATATTCTCCACTGTATCTCCCTTGCTCTTAATTAGACCAATCATAGTCTCTATCATTGCTTTTAGGAATCATGATACCAATCCATAGTTGAGGGCAGAGCTGCTTAAACACAAAGCATGTAAGTTCTTATTTTATCACATTAATATTTTAGGAAAAAATAGTGTAGTTAGTGCTCTACCCTCAACTATGGATTCTTAAGGCAGTTTCCATAAAGTATCAAATATATCATGAACTCACCCATACATGTGTACCATACCACCACTCACAATCCTATTATTTCTATCTCTGTGTAATACATAGATATTGTGTTTATGGACACACATAGTCAAAGTCTTGTGAGAAAAGACTAGGAGAGATCAAAGGAAATTGATGGATTGGCTCCTTGTCCCATAAGGAAGGTGGAATGAATGGAATTAATCTGCATGTTTTATACAATTAGTAGAGCTTCCTTTGATGTGCAAGAAGGTTGTAATTTGTGTTCTGGGTTTGTGAGGAAATGAAAAAGGTTGATCACAGCATGTGATATGACTTGCTTTCATGAGGAATGTAGAGCTACTTGCTTGGCTGCTACTCTGCCTTAGCACATTTTCCTTTCTTAATGATACTTCATTAATTTTTTGAGTCAGAAGCCATGACAATAATGTAAAAAACTTCAAAATACAGCAATCTACAGTTCTGTACAATCAACATAGAGCACACTGTTACTGCCGAACTTAGCATTATTCTGCTTAGCATTAAGATAAAAAACCCAACTATTTGTATAGTAATAATCTTAATAATTATTGCTTTAATAACAATATAGCAGATAATAATTTATAAAGCAATAAAATAATAATCTTGCACAGAGTGGGCAATCTTTTTGTGCTGGAAATTTCACTTTTTAAATAAAACTTTGGTTGCCAAGGCAACACGGGATGTTTTGGTGATATGACCTGTATTCAATGGCATAATGAGGGGAGAGAGATGTTACAAAAAGAGTTTGAAGGCATCATATCTAACACAAGCTTTTGTCTGTCCTTTGAACTATGCTTTTAAATTATGAACTATTGTGAATCGTTTTCCAAAGGTACATGGTCTTCTGCAACACTGCAGAATAGCAATCATGGTAGACAAGTACTACAGTATACTTTCTACTCCACCTGAGGAATGCCTGATATGTCTCATGAAACTCCACTTCAAAATTGTTCCAACCACCTTAATAAAAGTATCTCTGTCAGTTTTTCTGAACATTTCTTCCTTTCTAGTTAAAAAAAAATCATATAAATGTGACTGCCAAGGAATTTTGCAAGGATTTTTTTTTTTTATCACAACCCTCAACACTGGAGCCAAGCGCAATGGTATGAACATTCAGTTCAGAAATTATTTTTCTGTACCAGAATTGGAGCTTGCCCACAGAAATGTTCCAAATTGACTCCATGGTTTCTCAATTTCAATGGCTTAGTTTAGGTAGAATAAGTGATCAATGTTGTTGCTGTTTCAAAATAATTAAGAGTTGGAATTCCTTGCTGGAAATCACTTGGGATCAACCAACAGTATTCTGGCCAATCCTTGTTCTGGAGTTCACGATTTTCATAGGGCACTGATCAGGCCCTGTGACCGCTCTGCATGAAAATCTTGTTTGTAGCTGCACATGGCAGGAGTTGCCAACCTGGTGCCCTCAGTTGTTTTGGCCTACAATTCTCATAATCTCTTATCACTGCTTATGCTAGCATATTGTGAAGTGAGACAGGCTGCTGTTTCTCAGGGGGAAGTCTGTAATGTGGTTCATTCTTGATGTAAAAGAACATTATTATCACTAGCTTCTGCTATAAAAACCTTAAAGAAGGCTATCCAGAGCTTCTCAAATAACTTGCTTCACTGGTGATTAGAACATTCCTTCCAACACAAAGCTTAAATTGAACTTCCTGAAATTTAAAAATACTGCTCCTCACCTTTGTTCTAATATCTCATATTGTCTGTTGAATCATGTTATCTCAAATGTAGATGCCAGCATAAATTCTACTTGGTAAATACACAGTTAATCAGCTACTATACTTCGAGCAAATAACCTTTCCTAAACCCAAAGGGATAGCAAAACAAGTCTGGGCAAAATACTAAGGTGAAAAGGAATCTCAGTATGCTGTGGATGATGTACTGTGGTGAAATCAAACCAACAAAGAGAACTAAGCTATGATGAAACAATATAAAACTCTGTAGCACAGATTAACCATAGTTCCATAGAAAAGAATAAAATGCTCTCCACATAACTGACATAATTGCTAAAATATGCTTCACAGTGTTCCATTCTCAAAAATCCTGTGCAGTCGTTGTGGGTTTTGTTTTGGTTTTTGGTTTTTTATTCTGGAGCAAGATCACCTATCAAAATGGCAATATAAATATTATGTTTCTTAATATAGCAAAGGAAAACTATACATGAACATATACTTTCTAGTGTCCACTAAAGAGGGAAAATACACCCAGTTACGGCTTATTACTGCATAAACTCAACCACTGAACACACCTGGGGTATTTAAGTAGAAAACAAAAAAACACGATTAGTCTTTTCCCAATAGAACCAAAAAAAACATTAGAAAAATACAGTTGCAGTGTAGTGTAAGTCTTAAATTCTAGGTCAGAAAGATGAGGCAAAAGCAGCCCTAAGTGGAAAAAATACAGCTCTGTCAATGGGAACCTATTAAACCTCAAAATGAGGTTGCTACACGCTGAGAGCAAAAGCAAGCAAAATGCCCCACCGACTGCATGTATCAATGGCTCCAAAAGACTGAAACAAGTCAATACACATGCAGTAGAGGCAAAAACCGTAACATACTGCAACTCAGGGTCTCTAAACAATACAGTTCATGAAAAGAACTCATAAACCCACATATTAGGCAATTTTTTGAGATTGGACTGTTAATCATCTCTCAATGGACTGAGGCAAACAAGTTTTCTCCAAACTACAATTTATAATATAGGGAATATTGTAAACATTTCAATAAAATATTGTTTTGCATATATAATGAAGATACATGCCCACACACACTTTTTCTTCATTAATACTGTTCACTAATTTGATTAGTAACAGTAATCCTTGCTTAATGACTGCCCTGTTTAGCAACTGTTCATAGTTACGACACTAAAAAGTAACTTTACGACCAGTCCTCACACTTACAACTGTTGCAGGTCCCTGCGGTCATGTGATTGAGATTCAAGCACTTTGCAATCAGCAGGCATTTACAACTCTTGCAGTGTCCCTCAGTCATGTGATTGCCATTTGTGTGCTTCACAGCTGGCTTTCGACAGTCAATGGAGAAGCCAGCAATAAAATTGCAAGTTGCAGTCACATGATGTCACGCTCAATGACTGTGGGTGATTCGCTTAACGACTGCAGAAGTGAGATCATAAGTCTGTTGCAGTCATATGATGTCTTGTTTGATGGCTGCATTGCTTAGCAACAGGGTTGCAGGTCCCAAATATGGTTGTTAAGTGAGGACTACCTATAAAACTGTTTTCATTAAGATGGAATAATCTCTAACTCATATTCTAGAAATGGTTCCCTTTCAGGAACATTAAATCTGTTCAGTAGTCCACTTGGATTCCCACAGTTCTAGATTTTTCTTTCTATAAAGGAGACCATTATTTTGGATTATACAAGCCAAGTTGCACTAAAAGAGTACAAGATGGAACATGAGTCAATATGAGAGTTGACTCAG